CCATAAAATTATTTTCATTGTGACTTCATAACTCCCTTCAGCCTTGCATGCTCTCCCTCGCCCACACATGCACACCACACCGCCATGTGCCAAGCACACCTGCTCTCCCCGAAGCAGCTCTCCCCTTGGCTGAGAGGCTGGCTCCTCACAGCAGGAGGAGGGCTTTTTGGTGGGAGGATTTGCTGTCTGTTTCCAAAAAAGAAGAGAAGGACAGGCGGAGAGATCTTCAGCCTTCTCTGCCAAAGGGGTTCCAAAGACTATCAGAAATATATGTTTCCTGATGGTCTTTGGCAACCTCTTTGAACCCCCTCACGATCCCCCCAGGAATCCCGACCCTCAGGTTGAGAAACGCTGATTTATCTCTTCATGTATTTAATCTATCTATCTATCTATCTATCTATCTATCTATCTATCTATCTATCTATCTATCTATTTTCATTCTATCCTTTTCCTAACATATTTCTAGTTCAATTTCCCTCAGTCTTACAGTGATGCTGGACTACAACTCCCACCATCGTCAACACTATCACTACAGTTGATAGGAACACATCAGAAATATGCTAGTTTTGGGAGGAGATATGATAGCCGTGTATCAATATGTGAGAGGAAGCCACAGGGAGGAGGGAGCAAGCTTGTTTTCTGCTTCCTTGGAGACTAGGACGCGGAACAATGGCTTCAAACTACAAGAGAGGAGATTCCATCTGAACACGAGGAAGAACTTCCTGACTGTGAGAGCCGTTCAGCAGTGGAACTCACTGCCCCGGAGTGTGGTGGAGGCTCCTTCTTTGGAAGCTTTTAAACAGAGGCTGGATGGCCACCTGTCAGGGGTGATTTGAATGCAAAATTCCTGCTTCTTGGCAGATTGGAGTTGGACTGGATGGCCCATGAGGTCTCTTCCAACTCTTTGATTCTATGATTCTATTTGCATTTCTTCCTCTTATACAGAACTTGGATCATCACTGTGCACCCATTATAGAGTAGGAAGGGGGATTTTCATTGAGTTTCTCCAAATCACGCCCTCTTTTGTTTCATATCCAGTGGCAAAACCTGAAAGTTTTAATTCCTATCCTGAATTTCGCACAGTTTCATTTAATTTTCCAAATTTACAGAGCATTCCTCCCACCAACTGCAGCATTTTGTGGCCTCTGTTGTTCCATTTAGGTGCCTTTTAGCTGCTCACAATTTAAAAGAGAAAGATTGATTTGTGTGCACTTAAGTTCTCAGGAATGACATACATCAAGGGTTTGGCAAATGCTGGAGCTGAGATGCATATTTCCCTGAAATAAGTCTCAGCAGATGTGAAGCCAAGGCCCCGCCTGCACAACCATATAATGCAGTTGGAATCTCTATTATATAGCCGTTGTTGTTGTTGTTGTTGTTGTTGTTGTTATTACTATTATTCAACAGCCATAGGAGTGTCTGCTGTGGCCTCATCTTGTTGTGTTTCAAATAATAATAATAATAATAATAATAATAATAATAATAATAATAATAATAGACAATAGATCAAATCCTCAGCTGCTGTAAGAAGATCGTGCAAACAGACTACAAGCAGAGGCATAACACCGTTGCTCAGATGATTCATTGGAACTTGTGCCACAAATACCATCTGCCTGTGACAAAGAACTGGTGGGATCACAAGCTGGAAAAAGTCACAGAGAATGAACATGTCAAGCTACTCTGGGACTTCCGAATTCAGACTGACAGAGTTTTGGAACACAATACTCCTGACCTCACGATCGTGTTAAAAAACAAAGTATGGATTGTCAATGTTGCAATCCCAGGTGACAGCAGGTTTGAAGAGAAACAAATGGAAAAGCTGATATAATATGAGGATTTAAAGATCGAACTGCAAAGACTCTGGCACAAGCCAGTCAAGGTGGTCCCAGTGGTGATTGGAACACTGGGTGCAGTGCCTAAAGACCTTGGCCTGCACTTAAATGCAATTGGCACTGACAAAATTACCATCTGCCAGCTGCAAAAGGCCACCTTACTGGGATCTGCACGCATTATTCGCCAATACATCACACAGTCGTAGACACTTGGGAAGTGTCCGACGTGTGATCCAATACAACAGGCAGCAGAGTGATCTTGTCTGCTATGGACTCATCTTGTTGTGTTTCAAATAATAATAATAATAATAATAATAATAATAATAATACCTACTTTATTTTTATACCCAGCCACCATCTCCCAGAAGGGACTTGGGGCAGCTTATAAGCAGCTGCTCAGTGCAGTTAAACTGCATTATATGTGTCTAGGTAAAGGTAGGTAAAGGTAGTCCCCTGACATTAAGTCCAGTCATGTCTGACTCTGGGGTGTGGTGCTCATCTCCATTTCTAAGCCGAAGAGCCAGCGTTGTCCGTAGACACCTCCAAGGTCATGTGGCCGGCATGACTGCATGGAGCGCCGTTATATGTGTCTCTACGTTGACCATATAATGCTGTTTTAAATTGCATTATATGGCAGAGTAGATAGAGTCAAAGACTGACCTAGTCCAGCAAATCCCTTTCCATGTTTAAGTGAAACAGTTACCAATGAAGACTTCTTGATACACAATTATGCAAAGCTGGAATATAAAAGAAAATATTTAGGAAACAGATTGCCCAAAACAAAGATATATAACATTGTATTTAGGATACAGATTACCTAAAACAAAGATTGTTGGGGTGGCAATTGAGGAGAAATTATTGTTTCCATTTGATGTTTTGTCTTATGTCTGTTATAACAGGCTGTGCTTTTTGTTTAATTTTAGTTTGTTAAGTTATAATTAGTATTCATATGTTGGGTTGTATACATTTTGTTAGTATGGATGTACTATTGTATTCAGGCATTGAATGTTTGCCTTTTATGTTTGGAATTCGCCCTGAGTCCCTTTGGGGAGATATAAATTAAGTTGTTATTATTATTATTATTATTATTATTATTATTATTATTATTATTATTAAAGAGTGGTTAGACAGGAAAACGAAGGGCCTTTTTATACTGCCACACAATGCAGTTTGAAACTGCATTATATGGCAGTGCAGATGGGGTCAAAGAGTTAAATGTCCTACTCAATGTCTTAAAAACATGAAACGAGGCAAAAAAATGTGTAAAAGTCACAAGTAATCCCTTCCCTTACTATACAGCAAGGGTGGGGACCTTGTGCCATCAGTGAAGCTGAATGCAATACTAGCTGAATGCAATACTCTGGGCTGCATTCCAGCGGTGGGTGAGGCCCAAAGCAAAAGAATGCAACCAAAAATATTCAAAGCTCAACATGCCAGGGATAAAACCTTTAGAAACACATTGCAACTTTTTAGAATGGGAAAGGCAGGGAAACACATGCAAAAATTGGGGGAACAGCAGGTTATGGCTCCAGTGGGTTTAACTGGAAACACAGAAAGACCAGATGGTGCTCCATGTGGTTGGAATTCCAACCTCAAATGAATGGGAATGCATTTGGAAGAGGGTCAAAATATTTCCTGTTTTTCCAAAGTCTTTCTGATATAAATCCCAATTTGCATGTGCTTTCTTATTTTTCTTTACCATTTCTGTTTGCTTGGGGTTTATTTTGTGTTTCGTGGTTTCGTTACCAACAGTGTGCAATTCTTTTTATAATAATAATAATAATAATAATAATAATAACAACAACACTTTAATTGTACCCAGCTACCATCTCCCCAAGGGACTCGGTGCGGCTTACATGAGGTCGAGCCCAAATACAACAATACAAGCAATAATAACAACAATACAAGCAATTAAAATAAAGCATGGACAATACAATAATGCAACATTAACAATAAGACCACACGATGAAAAACTATGGGAATGCCAAATGTAAAATTAAAATTGAAAATAATGCTGGAACATGGGCGAAAAAGTGATGGGGCGTTTATGGAACACATACAAGCAGACCTAAAAATGTAAAGTGCTTTGGAGGACAAAGTGCTATGGGATCATTATTCTGGGAAGGCACACTGGAACAACCACGTCTTCAAGCTCCTCCTAAAGACTGCCAGAGTTGGGGCCTGCCTGATGTCCTTAGGAAGTGAGTTCCAGAGTTGGGGGGCCACCACTGAAAAGGCCCTCTCTCTCATCCCCACCAATCGCGCCTGCGATGCAGGTGGGATCGCGAGCAAGGCCTCTCCAGATGAACGGAGAGATTGTGTGGGTTGGTGTACAGAGATGCGGTCACGCAAAATAAAAAGTTGTTCACTGCATACAGGTAAAGGTTTCCCCTGACATTAAGTCTAGTCGTGTCTGACTCTTGGGGGTGATGCTCATCTCCATTTCTAAGCTGAAGAGCTGACGTTGTCCCTAGACACCTCCAAGATCATGTGGCCTGCATGACTGCATAGGATGCAGTTACTTCCTGTTTACTATTTGTTTCATGTGAAAAAAAATTACAGCTAACTTTTGTCCCACGTAAAGGGACAAAAATTACACTAGATTGGGAGAAGGCAGCTGCAGTGGGCCAGGAATGGAAAAAAAT